CGCAAAAGGACACCGCCCAAGAAGAATGAAGCAGTCGCTGAGATCGTCAACAACATGTGCGCTGACCTCGTGATTGATTTCACAGTGATCGTCGATGGTGATATCTACCCCGTAGAGATTGCGAGAACCGACGAGACACAGGCCGCTGACAACGTCACGGACGATCCAGGGTTCTCCGTTTCTCCACCAATACCTGCACAGGATGTAGATGTGGATGCGCAACCCGAAGAAGAACAAGGTGCAGAAGGCCCTGATCCCAGGCAGGCGATTCGTGAAGGATTTGTCGCGCAGCTTCAGGACTATGTGGGAGTACTCGCTCAGGGCGAAATGTCAGTCGGAAGCGACCGCCTCACGTTCTGTATCGCTTGTGGCAGTGATCTACACACCCTGTCCAATTGCACGGAAAATGCTGCAACCCGGGATCTGGTACTTCGAGGCATCCAGATCATCAAGGAAAGCCTTCTTCGATATCCACGTCGAGTACCTCCACAAGAGGCTGAGCCAATGGACGTTGACACCACAGACCATGTGAGTGTTGCATCCTCGGACCGACGACCCAAGGCCAAAGCCCGACCGCGACGCGGAGGCGAAGCCGTACGGGGTGATGTGGTCTTGATCCGTTATGAGAACAAACACAATCTCTGCACGGATGTGGAGAACCGTCGGGGCCTACATGATGCTTGTGGCGTACCACTGCAGGAATCAGGACCAGAGAATAGCCAGCGGGTGGTGGACCTCATTGAGCAGCTTTCGGACCATCGCGACCGACGCCTACCTCAACGAGGAGACCGTCCTAGCTTTGCTTATGACGATACCACTCAGGGCTACACCAATGCAGGCTACGAATGCATCGGCGGCGGAAGGCCAATCCGGTGCGGGATTCTCGACCTGATCCCAACCAAGGGTGCAAGCTTCATCAACAATCGATGGGACATCGTGAACGAAGTTGTCCTTCGCAACATCACCCGTCAGCGCAGAATAAACGCGGATTGGGCGCTATCATGCATCCAATCTGACCTGCGTCACAGAATCGCCAGGCGCCCAGGCTCGGAATGGCTTGACAACAGGTGCCAGGTGGCATTCAGCAGCGTCATTCGATGTGATGAAGGAGGGTGGGTGCTGATCGAAGACTTGGTGAGGCATGAGCAACTATGGACCCATGAAAGCAGACGCATCACCGAAGCGGTCTCAAGGACCGATGAGCAACAGAGGAAGAGAGTGTACAATGAAAGACTTCAGCTATTGTTCCAAGGGAACATGCTCGCAGCCACGAAACGCCATAAGGCCAAGATTCGGTTGCAGTTCCTGGGAGTGAGAGTGAAGGACCCCGGCGTGGAAACTCTTGGATCCGCAGGTTCGAACATGTTGGTATCGATTCCTGACCAGATCACGGAGATCCAGAACAATGATCGTTGCCGGCACAGCCAGAGGTACCTGAACGTTTGCAACGGCTGGGTGAAGCCATGGGCAGTTCGGGCTACAAGTGGTCACTCTGCGCACTCAGATCCCCAGAACAATTTGCTTCAGTTGGACAAGAACAGGTTCGCAATATCTCCATCTATGACCCTCTTGCAACGTCTTGGAGGCGCGTTCCACGCTACGGCATGCCGCAACTTGGATTCCATTGTCACGCAAGGCATCATGCCTGGTTCGGAGGACCCCGACGGGGACTTCGACCATAGGCGCCAATTTCGAGGCAACCAAGGCGGCAGACTCCACAGCTATTGGGGGGTGTTTGCACCGTTCGATCACCGGAACGCGACGACCAAGATGCGGGTACATGGACGAGATGCCAAGCACATGCCACTGGCGGTCCTTCATGTCCCATCGCAGGACCTTGCACGAGAAGATGGACGTATCACAGACAGCGGCATCATGATCGTTGGCCGAACGATACCGTTCCAGTTCGTCAAGGAGGTATGGTTTTGCGTCCCGGATCCTCAAGATACACACTCTTTCGCTCTGGTGGAAAAGATCTACGATGAACGTTGGAGAAAGAGCTGGTGTTGGACTACAATGCATCACCATTGCTCCCTGAGTTCGAGAGATACCGAACGCCGAGCAAGATCATGGAATTGCTTTGCGAGATGCCTCCTGGACCCCACGACACCAGCAAGGAGCAGATCATTCGAGACCTTACGACTGTCCTGGAGTCCCACAGGGAGAACACGGTTCGGCATCACTACATGGACAAAGGGATCAAGTTTGTCATCAAGAATTGGCGACCCGAAGACCTACGCAGAGACGAGGATGGAAGGAGAATGAGGGTGTGCCCGGCATGCTACAACATCGTTCCAGCATGCTTCTCCCGATGCACGTCTTGCTGGTCACAGTTCGTTTCTAGCGGATATTACCAAGGTTCTCCACAACGGGAGACTCCTACGGAGATCCCCAGTGACTTCATTGCTCAGACAATGGAAGCCGCGGCAGCAGCAGTGCCTGAGGCGCCCGAAGAGGAGCAGGAAGCCATGGAGGTAGAGACCGTTGCGGAACCTGAGGAAATCCCAGAACCATCTGTCATCGCGGAGGACGATCCAGAACAGGAACCTGATGAAGAAATGGACATAGAGCCAGGAGAGGACTTTGATGACGCAGTACCAGATGCAGTTGCACAGGAACGCCGTCCCGTCTTCATTACCGGCCAGTCTTTGAACATCGATCCTGAGCTACAACTTGCACGTACCGCCATGCAGCCATCCTACTACTCAGGGAAGCGAAATGCCCATTGCATCGACGCCAACATGGTCGCTCTTTCGTATATGGCTTTCGTGGTGTGCAGGACCATCTACAAGGCTTGGTCAGGATTTGCGAAGTGGGCTACTATGCCGTTGTTTCAGATGAAGGAGAATTTCGCACTTGGCCAACGTTATGATGTGCTTGGAAAGTGGGGATCATTGGCTGTAGTGGACAGAGAGACTGGTGTGAGCAGGGATGTGACTGATGAGGAGATCATTCGCTTTGCCAAGGAACCTGAGAACCTCAAGCAGTACGATCCCAACGGGACTTACACTTTGAAGCGCTTCCGGACGAATCAGATGCTTTCGTTGCTTACACGGGGAGCCAACATGATGGGAATTGGCAGGGACAACTTCAACCCTACTACGTACTTGAAGAGCAACAGGGATGAAGATGTGAAGGCTATGCACTTTTGTTGCCTGAACGTCCTGTGCGAGGTGATTCCGATGGTGACAGGACACCAACAATTCTCAGTGCTACGACCAACGCCAACTGGACCGGTGGACTTCTTGTACATCGACCCCGTCGGTATCCTGCTGACTCATTCCGATCATTCAGTCCAGACCATCGGATTGCTGGTGGACCACAATGTGCAAATGCCTGCGCATTTCATGGACAGATTGAACAGATCCAAGGCTGAGAGACAGCAAAACCCGACGACCAAGCGTACTGAAGCCCTACACCACATTTCGGCCGCTGACTATCTCCCTCCAGGTGGTACTTCCATCCTGGACACGCCTGTCACTACGGAGGAACGTGCAAGCGCTTCTTCGGCCAAGGGACCTTCAAAAGGGCGTGAGAGAACCGGAGGTGAACAGCATGGAGGCTGGAACGCCAACACCTACTATGACTACACCGCCGGCAAAGGCCGAAACAAAGGCAAGGACAAAGGAAAGCAAAGGGAACAGTATCCAGAGGAAAACCTCCGGCCCTGGGACCGCGATCCTGCGACCACGCGAAGATGGAGATGAATCAACGCTTGGTCTTCCTCGCCTATCAGTTCGTGACCTCTGAGCTTCGCCCATGGAATGCCATCGCGAATGCTTCTTTCTTCGGTGACGCCTGATTCGTTTGCCATTTCAGGGGATCGTTACTGACGTAGATGAGTGTCACAACGTTTCTAATTGGGATGCAAAGCTCTGATTTTCAATGTCAACGTTGCGGCGGAACATTTTCTGTTGTCCTATCGTGCCATCTTCCGGGTGAGCAGCGTCGGAGACGCAACTCATGGGGGGTGCGAACGGACTGCGATGCCTTGTCAAGTTCTAAGGTGTCACTATAAGAGCTGTGAGCAAGACCGTGTAAAGTGCAAGAGAAGGGGGCACGCTACGCGTCCCTCGACTCTAAGGGGGCACGCTACGCGTCCCTCATCTTTACCTTTCTATGTGACCGCCCACGCAACGTTTGGCTCAAGTCAATGCCCATAGCTAAGTGCTATAAGTGTCTTCTATCCTGAGCAATCAGAGCTATCCCGTTGCACAGACGAACCGCCGCCGGCAGTGAGTGCAAAAGGAACGGCCGCCGGTTCTGCCTGCATAGGATTGCACGTGTGGAAGTGTGAGAGAGACAGGGTCCAGTCTGTGGAGAGTGCAAGCCAGCCACACCTACATTCATTACAGCTCTGGTGGGGAGAGCAGCAACCTAGTCGAGATCAATCCCCCACGCAACTAGTACTACTACTACTACTACTACTACTACTACTACTACTACTACTACTACCCAAGCACAATCCAGCCAGAACGCCGAACGAGGCATTTCCAGTACGAAAGTTGTACGACAACCAACCACAATCCAGCACCCTAAATGTGTCATTTCCAGTACTAAAGTTGTACGACATGGTCTTTGGATGGTCCTTGCCAGTGCGTTAAGCGAAATGCTCGGAAAACGATAGGGGACTCGCTATTCAACGACATGACATGAGCAGCATGAACAAGTAATTTTGACCTTGACGCTAATCTAAATGCATACACATACACTGTCATATCAGTTGGTCAAAACTTGAAGCGTGCTCCGCGCGCCCGGGTCCATGACTTGCCCATGCATTTTTGTTTCCGTGCTTTCTTGCTCTCAGCTCGGCAGTGAGGGGGGTCTGGGCTCCCTGGCCTCTGGGCCTTTGCATCCCGCCGCAGGCGCTTGAATGGTATTTGGAGTTTTTGCGGTCCTTCTAGATCCTAGGCAGCCGTAGCACTCGGCTGTCTGGTGGAGGCCCAGTCCTTGCTCTTCAGCTAGGAGTGTGCTATGCTTAGAGTTGCTGCGATTGCAGGATGCGTTTTGCGGGCCTCAGATGGCTGCCATTGGCTTTGCTGATCCACGATGTATCTGACGTGGTCGCGCAGACCACCGATGGTGGACGCCGCTTCCTCGGTGCCATTACCCTGATTTCTTGCGGTTGTGTCAATTCTGCCAGCCGGTACTGAGGCAGCGAGCTACCTGGGATGAAGAAGGCCTGGTTGCGAAAGCCTATTGGGCCCCGTATGGCCCTTCTTTGGCCTTTGGCGCAAGTGGCTTTTCAGGACATCTTCGATCAGATGAAGGATGCCAAGAACAAGGGCCAAAGCGGAGCTCAGCCGCCCGCGCCACAGCCTCCCAAGTTGTCAATGGGGTATGGACGGTAGGGACACCACCTAGATTCTGCAAGGGCCAAGCGGGCTGACTGCCCCAAGAGCACCGCGCCCAGCTTCACCACTTTTCCGTCATGACAATCGGCTCGTCACCTGAAGACTAAAAAGATGTTGCAAACGCTTTGCCAACCTTTGCCTGCTGCAGGCGACCAGCTCTCGCCGTTCAGGGCGTTCTGCATTGCACATGCCCTAGGCAGCCCCTACAGTAGGCAAGGGTGCTGTATCTCCGGCCTGTGTCAGGTGCAGGGAGAAATTTTCGTGAAGTTCAACGACACGGACGACAAGTGCAGAAAAATCGTCAGTGTAGGCCAGCAGACGCGGTTCAACTGTAGCTTGAGGGGACGGAGGGTGTTTTTGGCAGGTGGAGCCAACACATCGGCTCTTTTTGCAGCTTCCAGGAACTTGTGGATTGGGATTTGGGAGGGGAGCAGCGGCGCACCGAAGCTACGGCCGTTGCAGGACCTGCGGCGCCGCGGGGGAGTGGAAGCGGAGAGTTGCCGAGGACCTGTGGCCACAGGGCCTTCTTTAATGGGGCCCATGGGCCCGACCGGGCGATGACGTCTTCGCTCGCAGGAGCTCAGTGCCGTCTACTTCGTGGGCGGTTGGGAGGAGAGTCCGGAGTCCGGAATCCGCGAGTTTTTGCGACAGCTCTTTCACCACGTTGCGTTGCGACGCAGGAGTGGCCCAAGAGCGCCTCGGCTTTTGCAAAAGCCCTGAAAAAGAGGCATAAAGTCTCATAGACTCATAGAATGCAGCTTGCAGAGGGGAGAGATGCCTCGTGCTGGTGACTGCTAAGGTGAAGGCGAGCCCATCGAAATAGAGCTGGAAGACGGTCCGGGGACTTCTTTCTGAGATTACATGCGTGCTCCCGTACTCGCACTGAGGCAACTTCTCAGTGCCCATCACTGCCGAGAATTACGAAGTAATTAAGGCCTCCGTTCAAGAAGCGGGAATCAGACGTGGCCGTGGGCATGTCGATGCAGGACTGCTGGGCCCGAGGCTGCGGATGCGAGCAGGCGCACGACTCTTGCGCCAAGAAGGTTGGAGTTTTACCCTTCTCGGCCAATATCACGAAGGCAGCGAATCCAAAGATGAAGGGCGTGCTGTGCAGTCCTTAGAGTTCTCGTTCGGGAGACAGGCCTTGGAATCTGGCGATTCCGCCGCCAAGGTGGTCGCTCCTGGCCATATGCGTGTTCGGCATAGGCTGGGACGGCGTGAAGCTGACCTGGGAGACGCTCGACGAGATTGCTAAAGGCAGTGCTCGTAGTGCAGCTTGCAACCGCGGGTCTCTAAGGAAGATCACCGGCGGCAAGAAGAAGGACAAGGCCCGACAACCAGTGGCGAGCAGGGAGCACTTGCAGCAATGATGCGTGCCCGCTTACATACTTGCATGAGAGTCTCCCAGGACAAGAAGGAGAAGAAGGAGAAGAAGGAGAAGAAGGTGCGGCGCCGTACCAGCTCTGATGCCTCCTTGCATCTTCCGGACTGCAGGACAAGAAGGAGAAAAAATCCAAGAAAGGAGACGACGAGGACATTCGCAGGACGTCGGTCCCAAGGGAAAGCGTGAAGCCGCTAAGCGCAGAGGTCACGGGCGATGAGTCGACTGAGACCAAGTCGGAGAAAGACGACGGTGACGACAAGAGCGGCAAGGCATGTCGAGCAGCGGCTGGAGCAGTCCTCTACACAAGCGCCCTTCACGTCGCAGGACACGGATGCGGAAGGACCGGGCTCCCCTTGGGGCGTAGTGCCTGCTGGTTGGCTTTTCCAGATCCAGGCAAAGACAAGGACGACGAAAAGGATGAGAAGGAAAGCCGGCAAGCCCAGTCACTCTCCCTGACTTATTCCTTGCATTTTGCTTCTTTGTTTCGGATAAACAGGTGAAAATGCCACGGACGTAGACAAGAATGAGTAGAGGAACAGTCTCAGCTCAGCAGTCGCACACACCGAGTGTCACCCCTGGCCGTGGCAAAAGCATGTAAATTTTGGCTTTCTGGTCTGTGCTGTGGAGTGTCCGACCAGTTTGCCACATAAAACAGCTGGGCATGATGTGGCTGTGAGGCTCACCAGCAATCTTATGAGGAGCAAGCTATACCAAGCGAAGGGCGAAGCGAGTCTACGCCAACTCACCCGTGATTCAAGCCACAGGGCTTGAGGACAAGCCCCCTAGCCAGCAATCATAGAGAGTCTGCACAGAGCCAGCAGCTAATGCAGCACCAATGCTCAATGCCTTTGACACGCCGGTCGGCGGCTTAGAGACATCGTGGCTTGAGCTTTTCTTCTTCTCTTTTGCATGCTTTGAGGTTCGCACACCGGTGTCAAGCCGCAGACCACTTCCTCGAAGCAGGTGCGAGCCTCTCTCGCGAAGTGCACTCCCTCTCAGTGTTTGCACTGCCTTGCAGTGCCCGAAGGAGCTCTTTCAAATGAATCCACAGAAAACTCCGTGGCAGTGTGTTGTTCAATACGCTCGCAAGTCCGGAAGTGCCATCCGATTAAGTCCGAGATGTCAGGGACGTGCGGCATGCGCCACTCCTGGTGCAGAGCTTACACAGCTTTCAGGCAGTCCTCGCTCTAACAGTACCTGTTCCTTCAGTTTCTCATGGGCTGAAGGTCTTCGTAAAGATCACTCGTAGGAATGCTAAAGCGATGATGATAAGACGAGGAGGAGGAGGCTATGCGACCTCCACAGCCTGTACACAGCTGGCAAGCGACTCCGAGGACTCGAGAACAGCGCGGGGTGCCCTCACGCTGGCGGTAGCTTGGCCCGGACCCCGGACGAGGTTGGATGAGCCTGGAGCAACACGCAGCGAAAGCTTTATTCGGGGAACTGAAGACTCACCATCCTAAAGCCTGGTCACATGGCCCATGGCCGTTTCTGACTTGCTTGATGTCAGTCGATCCTAGATCACAAGGCGAAAACACAAGATGCCGACCGTGTTGCTTTTTCAACTGGCCGCTTGAGGCAGTCTGGGAGGCTTGGCAAGATCTGCCGAGTCAAGGGTGCGCCAAGCACGTTTGCTCTGCAGATCTTTGTGTATATGCCAGATGCAAGAACCTTCGCAGTTTTTCGTTGCAGTTGGAAGTTGGAAGAAGGAAGAGCACCGACGGAAGCTGTGCAAGAACGCTCCAAACAGGAGGAGTAGTTGTAGAAGTCGTCGTCGTGGACGTGGACGTCGTCGAGTTCCCGTAATAGCAGTGGCAGCTGTGGTGGTGGTAGTCGTAGTTGGAGGCGGTAGCAGTAGACATGTCAGAGGCCGTTGTTATCATCTGGCGTGGCCAGGTTTTGCGAGACGACGATGGAGCACGACTGCCCAAGAAATGCGCCAGGACACCGTTTGTGCCCTGCACAGCTTCCGTGAGTTTGTAGATATTCACAGTTCTCAGAGTTCCTCCGTACGAGCGCTGTGTTGAGGAGCCAATCAGTGCTCTAGCAGGCAAGGCAGGCAAAGACTCCGTTATTGTCACGGACCTCATTGCACAGCCAGAAACTCAGCAATCTTCATGAAGTGGTAAGATGTGTCAGCCGGAAGCCCAGGGCTGCCTGCAGGCTGCCTGTTCAAGCTGTAATCTTCCTGATCATGTTCTTTGCAATGCACTGACGGACCTGCTTTCTATGACCGGAAAAGCTTCTCTGAATAATCTTGTGCCGTGTTTGTGTGCAGGTGTTTATTGTGGCCAACTTCAAAGCATACAGAGTCTGTTCGACCTGTGGATGTGGGTCCGCTTGATTTCACTGTAATGTGGTGGCTCTCATGTGAAATGCGAGGGTTGTTGCAGTCATTTTGCCGTGGTTTGAATGAAGTACATAGTTTTTTCCGCTGAGGTCTTTCATCAAAATCTTCAACAATGCGTTTCTCAACACCATTGAGAGGGTGGAGCTCTCAGAGACTCCAGCCTATTCGCTGGCACGCCCGTGAGCTTCATATCTCTCCACCTTTGAGCTTCTCCAGTGGGAGCAGCGATGGAAGCAGAGCGAATGGCGGCAACTACGGCTCAAAAATGAACAATGCTCCACCCACGGTAAGAGGCAGTTCCCCAGATCATAGGACCCCTTGCGTGGAGATTTACAATGGTGATGTTCCTTAACCAAAATCTTCGCCATCAGTAACCCATCATCTCTCAAGCGAGAAACTTGGATCTCGAAGGGTGGAAGACCACAGCGCTCCAAAAGAGAGTCAACAGCAAGTGCAGGTGGCGTTAGGGCCCGCAGAGAGGAAGCTCGATGTTCTATCCGTTGTGCTTCTCGTTCTTCAGAAGCTCCGCACTCTGCTGCGAGGTGCGAGAACCTCACTTGCTGAACGTTCTGGCGAATCTTCGAAATTTCGCAGCCAGAGTTCCTTACAAATACCGTGGCAGCATCGAGAAGGCCATTTGCAGTCTGTACGACCGGTTTACACTTCTGCTCTTGCAGTTGAAGCCCCGCCTACTGTGCATGATGCAGGCACTGAGAACCGAAGGCAGCGTGGGAAGCATGCATGCTTGAGCTCGTGTGGTGTGCGATAGTGGCAGATTTCAGCCTGGCGCAGGCTTCTTGTCCTTCTTACTTTCACGGGCTGCAGTGAGCCTGCTCTGTGCAAAGGCCCAAATTCAGAGCAGTGCACGGACGGGGAATCAGCGTGCGCGCCTGCGCGCATGCGAGCGGGCTGCCAGGCCACGCTCCCACCACAGTCGGAGTCCAAGATCTCCAAGGAGCACGAGGAGCTGGCGACGGTGGTCGAGGACTCCGCAAGAGAACGCTTCTCGTCTGGGTTCTCCATGTGGGGGTCGCCGGCTCTAAAGGAGCTCTACATCGCCGCGATGCTCCATGCAGAGGACCTGCCTGCCTCGCAGCTACGCCAGTGGAAGTGCTGGTTTGCCAGGACCAGTGGGATCTGGAGCTGAAAGCTGATGGCAAGACCTTCATGGCCTGGGGCTGTGCCAGGATGCGGAGAACGCTGCTTGCATGTGCTGCAGATGTTGGACTTGAACTGCCGAGTCTTTACGGCGACTAGTATCCTGCCTTATGCGGCGCAGAGCGATGATGAGATTCGGGTTCACAGCATGCATTCGCGAAATGAAGACCACCGACCACGGCATCAACGAAGCAAGAGACTTTGCGAATTCAAAGCGGCAACATGTCAACCTTCGAGAAAACATATGGAAAACCAAGAGCTACTCATGGAAACAGACACTGGGTAAGCAACTTTGACATGAGGCGGTCTGTGCAAAGTCGACCGACTGACTAACAACTCCTCCAATCTAAGGGAGTCTGTCGGGTGCAGCGTAGGTCCGTTTAGGTACTCTTGCGTCTGTTGCGTTCTAGAGCCATATGCATGAAGCCAGATGAGGCCGTGGCCACCTCTTTCGTGAAGCATCTCGCGGATCCGGCACCACTGAAGGCACCCAACATCCAGGCAGGGGGCCTAGGGGGCCTGGGCAGAAATCTCCGTGTTGCTGATTTTTTGGTTTTGGTTTGACTTCAGCTTCTCTTGAGGCCGCCCTTCTGGGCCTGGATGCCAACCCGCTGATTTGGACCCGGCCTGGAGCCTCTGAAAGCTGCGGAGCCGGCTTCCCCATGCTTCCCCCTTCCCCAGCCCCGGACGTCGTGGGCCCAGGTACGGTCTGGACCTGCTCGGAATTTCGCTGGACCTGTCCCTCGGAGGCTCCGAGGTCAGGGTCCGTAGCTCGAGCTACGGCCTGGATGCAAGCACTGTCGTCGCAACCGCCACCCGATACACTGATACACCATTTTCTGCGACTCTGACTTCGCCTTCGGCGGCCTTGGTCCCCCCGGCACGACCGGCACTTGCCAGGGCTCCGCGCCGCAAGCGGCAGATCGACGCAAGGTGCGCACGCCCTTCCAGAGATCTCGGAGCGACGTGAGACCTCTCTCTCTCTCTCTCTCTCTCTCTCTCTCTCTCTCTCTCTCTCTCTCTCCGCGAGTCAGGATGATGATGATGATGATGATGCCGATGGCGATGACTGTGATAATCCATGCATCGTCGTTGTCATAGCTGTCTTCTTCTGTATCATGAGCGATGATGAACAGCTGCAGCCTTGTCCTTGGCATCGTGGAAGAAGCGCTCAGTCAAAGATCGTAGAATTGTCGAAGCACTGGTCTTCTGCAGGTGTCGCTGCTGGGAGGGGACTCGCTCTATGCCACGGCCCAATGGGCCATGGCCAAGCTTCACTCCCGACCGTTTTGCGGCCCAGTCTTTGAACTTTTGGAGTGTGTCTCTGTGTCACATCCTCGCTTTTGCTCTGTGTGCCAGTCCTCGAGGTGCCGGAAACTCATCGCGAAGACCATCGCGTCGTGCTCTGTTCCTGTCGGTCGTCCGTCGGGTCTTCTCTGTGCCGATTCGGCACTCGGCAGGTACAGCGATGGCCAGCTTCGGAAGCGGGAGCTGCTCTGGCCTGCGTCTGAAGACGTTTCAGCCGTTTTTTTGGGGAGTTTCTTGCAGCATTGCAGCAGGAACCTGGACCTCACGGTAAAGGAGTACCTGGAAATCGAGCAGGTGGCTGGTGTGGCAGCGTTCGCGCCTCGGGGATGGTCCAGTCTTGGCAATCAGTCTTGACCTTGGCCTTCCCAGATTTTTCGGAGCGTCGACGGCCTGCGCGGCCTTCGTGAACAACGTGAGCGACGAGATCGCACAACAGATGGCCGAGCAGCCTGCCTTTATTGACCAGTCTTTGCTCCAAGCCTCCCTTTCGTGCTTGGACTGCGCTTTCCTTCGCTCGACGAGGTTCGGATCCGACATCGGGCTGGTGGTTGGGCTGCTGAAGGATGTGCGGACAGTGGGAATGCGCAGTCCATGCCTCGTTTGACAGCTGTGTAGGCGTAGGTGTGGGCACTTTGTCCATGCACGGTGTGAGCGACTGTCGGGACGCAAAGGTGCACTTAAGCTCGGGCGAATCTCCGCACCAATCATCTTTGCCATGCAGCAGGATTGGAGCCCATTGTGCAGGTTAGGCTGCGTGTGGTCGTAGAAGCAGCGTCGAAGGACGCACGGCTGCGGGAGCTGCTCGCGCGCCGCCTCAGTGAGGGCGCCTCCGACTTTGAAGAAGCCCTCCGTCGGGTCAAGGACGCCGCCTGCTTCGCTCGAATCTCGCTCCCAGCTCGCTTGATCGCACTTCGCCCAGGAGGGGGGGATGATGCCGACTATCCGCTTGGCTCCTTCCCCGGGATCAGACACCGGACCAAAGTGGGCTCTTTTGAAGCTGAGAGCATCTTTCGCTGCGAGGTGAACAAGCTGGGTTCCCGAGCGGCAGCTCGCCTGGAGTGCCTGGAGGCGCGCTGAGCGCTGTAGGCTTTTTTAGGGCCGCAGACCTTGCACGAAGCGAGAGTCTGGGTGGCAGGAGAGCGAGGAGAAGGAGGCCTGGAAGTGGAGATTCAGTGTTTCTTCGGAGCTTCCCTGCGTTCAGATGCTGCCTTCAGGCCTTGCTGACATTGGTTCGGGGCGTCTCCTGCCTGCCTTTGATGGAGCAAGCTGGAACCGAGGAACGAGACTCTGCGCGCCCGATCGCCTGACTTGCGGCTCGGGCGGTTCCTGCTCGCAAGGCGGTGGATGACCTCACAGACACCGGGGATGCCACGGATGCCCAGAGCCGGGTCTTCGACATGAAGGCGCTTTTGAGCCGCAAGAGTAATACAGTATCTCTTAAGCCAAAGCGGTCAGTCAGGTGGCGAACCTACGTCTCCGTGCTGAGCTCCAGCGGATCCGCAGCTGTGAGCAGCGCTCACGTGACAGGCGGAGTGACCCCTCACACCAAAACACAACTCATGCTTTGCACGCCTCTGTGAGATCTTGAAGCAAGTGATGCGGGTTAAAGCTTGCGTTAGAGGCTTTCGCACTCCCTTTGCACACAGTTTGAGCGCTGGAGCGGCCAGTGGCCGACAACATGAGGGTCCGAATCTCTCATGCCTTCGTGCCTTCATCAGACGGCTCAGGACAAGAAAGCGAAAGCCAGCGTCCCTCTCACCATCACCATTATCACCACCACCGCCAAGATCCCAACTTTCAGCTTTATCTCATCCCTCCTGCTCCTTGCGCTTGTGCTCCTGTTCTCCTCCTACCCACTCTTCGCACTCATAATCACGTCATGCAACCGGATTTTTGAGTAGCGCTGGGCGTGCAGCGGACATTCGGGGGAGAAACGATCATATCAATATCCTCCACAGCCTCAGCGACGTGTTTCAACTGGTCCATAGCCAGACTTGTTTCTCTACCGAACTCGTCCTTGCGTGCATGCACATGAGTTGTTACCTACAAGCATGCGTACCTGGTCCCGCGTCTCGACATGATGGGCAAGGGTACAGGTTCAGGCAGCAGAGCGCGTGTGAGTGCTCGTCCCAGCGAGCGTCCGTTGCTTCTTGTGATTTCGAGCTTCCGGCGTTTGTGGCATGGCCGCCATTGCCAGGCTGGACGCCATTCAGCAGGTCGCACGTGGGGCCGAGCTGCGGGCACCCCTTCGCCTCTCCGGCTCCGCTTGCAGATGCAGGGCTGCTG